GGTTGGTACTGACCCGGCTGCTGGGCCGTTTCCCTCGACTACAGCTGATCTGGGCTGATGGGGCCTACGGCGGCAAATTGGTAGAGTGGGCCAGGACGGTGGGCGGCTGGACCCTGGAGTTGGTGCGGCGCCCAGCACAGCAGCATACCTTTCAGGTGCTGCCTCGGCGGTGGGTCGTGGAACGCACCTTCGGTTGGCTGAACCTGCAACGGCGGTTGAGCAAGGACTACGAAGCATTGTGTGAAACCACCGAAACCTGGATTTACATCGCAATGACCGGCCTCACCCTGCGCAGACTGGCCCGCCTTCCCCATTTTTAGACACCCTCTGAGTCTAACGGGTGGTCGTACAGCCATGCGACGGCCTGCTGTCATCAATCCGGCGGTTGCTGCTGGGCGCATCTGGCGCCCACAGGGGCCGGGAACACGCCAAGATGCCTGAAATGACGCCGGTGGCCGTCCTGGCGGCTATGGCGCGGAAACTCGGGTCATCCGATGCCGGTAACGAAACCGGCCGCCCTGTCGTCGGAGGCGGCCGGCGTCACCGTTGGTCAGCGACGGTTTCATTGTGTCAGCGCCGAGCGCTTCCGCGCTATGGGTTGCTGTCATCATTCTGGAGGGCAATCGTTGTCCTTCGCACGATGAACCACTAATGCGGGAAGAGCCTCTTGTGTGCAATGCTGCGGCCGCTATGCGCCTGCCAAGGGATGCAAAAGGTCAATGAACCGCGCCACGTCGTCCAGGCTCACGGTGACGGCCTCGGCGCTGCGCCAGTCCTCGTAGAAATTCACGTGGAGAGCAGTGGCCACACTGAAAAAGCGTTGGACGGCCGGATCGCCGAGTTCGGTTCCCAACCGGTCCACGGCGGTGAAAAGTTCGCGGTGGCCACGGTGCTGCCAGCCGCGCTGCTCGGCGACCGCGTTCACGATCTGAGCTGCAGCGCCCCATTCCTTCTCTGACGCTTGGCGCACCTCGCCGGTGACCAGCTCGGCGCGGGCCTGGGCCAGGAGTATCCTGCTGTCGTCGAGGTACTTCTGAGTGGTCATCTTCATTGCCAACTGTAACATGTGGAACCCAGCGCCATATAGCCGCCTACCCCCGCGGGTGAGGAAATTTCGCTACTCGGATTACAACGTAGTTGCGGCGGATTACGAGCAAGGATGCGACAGATTCCGTAAACCGCTGACCTACCCAAAATCGGGCCTTTGCGAGTGGAGTTGCCCTCAGGCTTCCAAGTTGAGTGACTTGCAAAACGGGGCGACAGGCAGGGAGTGAGGTAGCCACCAGAAGAGGACCGTGTCGTTACCGCCTCAGATTACCCGCAAGAGTTCCCTGCATCCAACACGACGTCAGTGATGCACCCATACTGCGACGTTCACGACCCAGACGGTCTGCGGGTCATTGACGCCTCGGTGATGCCTGTCATCATTAGTGCCAACACCACCACTACCATCATAATGATGACAGAGCGCGCCGCCGACTCTATCCCCGGAGGCCGGTAGCACTTCTGATTTCCCAAGGACCGGTCGAAAGCGCACACCGAGACAGCCCGCAGTCACTCGGGCCAGCCCGCACTCGCGTTTTCAATGCCCGCGGTTTCCCACGCGGGGCCAGAGGAGCATCGACCGTCGCTGCTGAGTACGCCCCCGGGCCCTCCGGCGCCACTGAGTACCTAATTCATCCCCAACCCTGGCAATGGTGCGCCCACCGCCGTTGCGAATTTGAACCTCTCCACGTTCGATGTGGGGAGTGAAGCCGGGCGGCCACACAACGATGCTATACGGAGGCAACACCTCATCATCTTGCAGGCGCAGGCAATCGCCGTCCAAAATCAGCCTGCCTTCGGTTTCCGCATCCCAACGCGCAATTGGGACCCGTAGAGTTTTCTGCCTAGGGAAGTAAATAGTAGAATGCGGCGGTGAAATTTCCAGAGGCTCGTCAGAACCCAAGGCGCTGACCTCATCCCCCACTATCCAGTAAGGGCCTGGACACTCTGCCGTCAGTTCTTTGGCTAAAGTCGCCGTGTCGGGAACCTCATTTCGGACTATGCCGGCTGGAGTGCGCGGCGCGGGCCACCAAGCTGGCCGGGGATATTTGCTCCAAGCTCCGCTGATGCGAGCACTATCTCCAACTCGGGCAGCGACCAAACCCGTGATGTTGACAATCTGGGCTGGGGTAGTATTCCGGTTCGGTCGAAGACCGGCCGGCCAGATAATTAAAGCTCCCTCAGGCGTGTACTCGCTGTGAGAAGGGTCCATGTATGACAACCGCAGACAGCTATCGACCAGCATTAGCTCGCCAAAGATGTAATCGGTCCCCCAATTGGTAAGCGGCGACTGTTGGTGTTGGAGGAAGTGGAATGTTGTTGCACAATTAACAGCGAGCAATCTCGTGGTGTAGATTTCGACCGCGTAACAGCGGTGCCCCGGTGGAACTCGAACCCACAGCGTATCCCGTGGTAGGAGATCGCTCCACCCTATTGAGCTACGGGGCCACGCGCCGTTACCGTGGCACAGGCCCAGGGCCCGGTCAAATGACTGGGCCTTTAGTATGGGCCGCCGTCCCGCAGGAGGCTCCCCGATGATGACCGGGAGTGAGCGACGCGGCTCACCCAAAAATCGTTGGACCCGCTGGTATATGTGGCTCGCCTACGGCGGCGGCGTCCTGATCGTGGCCGTGGTCGTGATCGTGGCGATGGCGACCGCCCCCGGCGGCGACGGCGAGACGATGGTAAGCCACCACAACACGGCGACGGTGAGCCACCAACACACCCTAAGCGATGCCGAATTGGAAGACTTGCAATTCGTAGCTGACGCGAAAGGGATCACTCTCGACCAAGCTATTGAGCGTTATGGCTGGCATGATGACTTCTCGGCGGTGGTAACGGCCATTCGGGACGACGACCCCGACGGCCTCGTTGATGCTGCCATAACTGGCGCATCGTCGGCCCGTATCGAGTTCTCGGGTTCAATCTCCGGTGGCGCTCAGGACGCCATCGACAATTTCAAGTCCGAAAACCCAGGCGTTGCAATCAGCGTACAAACCGGCCTGGGGCTCACCGGGCGGAAGGTGGAGGACGCGGTAGTCGGAGCGCATTTCGCGGTGCTAAACGAGGACGGTGTACAGGATAGCGTAGCCTATTTCGACAGCTACGCCAATGAAATCGTCGTGATCGTCCAGATGGCAACTCCGCCCTCCGATGAAAAACAATCCTCACTGGAAAAGGCAGCCGAGCGCGGTGCCACCGAGGCCACCAGACCGGATATTATGGACAGCCTCACCATATCGCTGTCAGTCGTCCAGCATGACCTAAGCGGAACCGAGGGCAACCGTGAGCCCAACTGACGCGGCTTGACACGTTCCGTCGCGTTAGGCTTAGCATGGAGCGGTGCCACGGTATCTCAGTTTGGTAGAGCAATGGCGTGATACCCCATGTGACGCCGGTTCAAATCCGGCCCGTGCACCACGATCAGGGTACATCCGCCCGGGCGCGCGCGCAATGCCCCAGCAACATTTGCCCATCGTCGGCGTCCTCTAATGGGCAGCCATCATAACGGAGAGGAATTTTCGCTACTCGGCGGTCTGCAGTGGTACACCAACGGAAGCTGTTGGCGTTGGTCCCGATGTTGCAAAGAGCGTTGTAAAAATGGTTGACTTTGGTTACAAACTGCCGTCAGCCATCTCTGAAGACGCGGTCTGAACCACGCCGCCGTCCCAAAGGTGCAAGACGACTCCGCCTGGGAATCTCACCCAGGAACAGCGATCTGATCCCCGCTCAAGCCGCCCCCCGAGCCTCAACCCGCATGACAGCTTGAACCGGATCGGGTCGCCGTCTTCGCTTCCCCAGCCGATGTTGCGCTGCAAGCGCCGGTCTCAGCTGGCCCGAGATCGCATCCCAGTACGTCCACACGCGCTTCACTTTCGCTGACGGTCTCCCGGGCAGCCGGGCTGGCACCCTCGCTGATGGTGAGTTCAGCGTTGACTGTGTGGGCCCGGCGGCCGAGGGCGCGAATTTCTGAACCGACGGCCTCCGGCTCTGAAAGAGTGCGGGCCACGATGGCGACATCGGCTCCCTCGCCAGCGTAGGCCAAAGCCACGGAGCGGCCCAATCCGCGGCCCCCTCCGGTTACCAGGGCGACCTTGCCTTCCAGTTGCGTCTTTGCTTCACCTGTCTGTGGTGGCAGGGACGGCGCTCCAGGCTGCACGCTCCCACCCCAACGCCGGTTCTTGCGCGGCGGGTCACTTCCGGCGCACTCCTTGCGAGTTGTACTATCCCGAACAAGAAAGAAGGCATGTTCTGGGTGCCGACCCAGCCCGCTCCGCTGATATCGATTACCCGGTGGTCGGGGCCGCGGAACTTGAACTCACAGTAGGAGCGGCCGCCTTCAGGCTGCGTGTGGCCCAGGCCCAGTCGCCGATGGAGCGGCCCGTCAGATTGGCTGGCTCCAATTCCGGAGCGTCCATCAATCCTGGAACCAAGCCGGCACAATCGACGAGGGACCGCATCGATTCCGTCGGCCGGCCTTCCTCCCATCCCGGTAACCGGAGCAATGAGGTCGAGCCGTGGTGACCAATGCCATGCGGACAGGCTTCCCAACTTAGGGCTGCTGCTCGAGCAGCGTTGGTTACTGGTTGGCCAAGGGGATGGTGCAGGTGACGCAAGCCTGGTCGCCGTGTGTAGCGGTCGTGTGGCCTTGGCCGGTGGTATCCTCCACCAGGCGGGCGTCGCCGGGGCCGAATACGTGCTTGGAGCCGTCGCCCAGGCCGATCTCCAGTTGCCCGGAAAGGATAATGACAAACTGGCGGCGCGGCGCCGGGTGCCAGTCGGAGAAGCGACCGGCCGGGCCTTCACTGAAGCTGATGGTGGTGGCAGCCTGGGCGCTTTTCCAATCAGGTGTCTGGTCCAGGTCAATGGTCTCAATGTGGGACTGGCCGTCATCGCCAGTGTAAAGTCTGAAGGTTCCCATCTTGTTCCTCCGTTTTTGTCTGCACAGGATACGGTCAGGCCGCGGCTGAAGACTGTTGAGATTCGACCCTGGTGATGAACTCCAGCAGTTGTGCGGCGTAGAGAGTGGACTTCATGTGGTAGCGGTTGGTGGCGGCGATGCCTGGGAAGGTGTTGTCGTGTTGCCCGATGACCGCCCATTCCTCGTGGGTCCACGCCGATGGGCGCAGCTCGGCGTGGGGTACCAGTCGCTTCACGTTCTCTGCGGCAGACTTGTGGTGAACGTCGTCCGGCGTGTTGCCCTCGAAGGCCAGCACAGGGCACGTGATGGACTCCAGTTGCTCCTCAGTTAGGTCTCCCACCGGGTTGGATTGGGAGAACTGGTCCCGCCAGCAGCGCATCACCGAACAGAACTCCTCGGGATCCATGGAAAGGATCCGTTCCCTGTTGTCAGCGTTGTCCCGGATGCGCTGCTCGAAAAACTCGGTAGCGGCTACGGCGGGCATCCCGCCCCGCTCGGCGGCCTCGATGTACTGTCCGTAGTAGCCGGGGGACATCAGTTCAGCGCTCCTCGGCCCGCCGGAGACTTCCCAAACAAATACGCCCTTGACCACCTCCGGGTGCCGAACCGCCACCGTCAGGGAAGTGCGCGAACCGGCGGACCCTCCGGCCAGGTAAGCCGGGGCAGCGCCCAGGTATTTCAGCAGAGCCGCCATTTCCTCAGCCCAAAGGTGCTGCTCGGAAAGCTCACCACCGATCACCACGTCGGACTTGCCGCAGTTGCGGCGGTCGTGGATGATGACACGGCAATGGGTCGACAGCAGGGCAGCCATGGGACGCAGGCCGTTGTGGTCCACCCGTCCGCCCGGCGTCAGCATGACCGTAGGGCCGGCGCCATACTCCTCGTAATACAGGTTCACCCCGTCTATGTTGGCGTAAGGCACTGCTCACTCCTTTCTGTTTGAACACCGCAGCACAGGTTGGGCTAGGACCGTGACACCGGCAGTTTGGCACCTTGGAACGGCCCATGGGGTGGCCTAAGAAGAAGTCGTCGCAGACCAGACCGACGTGACCCCAATTGGGGACCATACTCTGCCTTCTTGCGTTGTATTGTAACTCCAATCCCGCCAGTCCGGGTGCCACTTCGACCAATCCCGGTCCCGCATGGGTCATTCAGCCTGGGTCTCATCGCTCAGCGGCAGAATTCGGGCGTGATTCCGCTTGTAAGCCGCTACCCGGCCCTTGGATACCAGGGCACTCAGTATAGCGGAGTCCACCCAGTGACAGTGGCATGGAACCGGTGAAAACGGCGCTGACGACCGGCCAGCCGCAACCTCGGCAAAGAGACTACGCTCCACCCGACCGTAAAGCTCGGCTTAGAGGATGTCTAAAAAGGTTGAAATTGGGGTAGAGGTATCCAGGCGTGATAAGGGGGTTGGTCGTAACGTGGGGGCATGAAACGACCAGCCTATCCCAGCGACCTCAGCGACCGAGAATGGCAACTGCTGGAACCATTGCTGCCACCGCCCAAACCGGGCGGCCGACCCATCACCTACCCCCGGCGGGAGATCGTCAACGCCATCCGCTACGTGCTGCGCACTGGGTGCTCCTGGCGGATGCTGCCCCACGACCTGCCGCCGTGGCGCATCGTGTTCCATTACTTCCGTACCTGGCGTCGTGATGGCGCCTGGCAACGGGTACATGGCGTCCTGCACGCCGAGCTGCGGCAGGCTCAGGGTCGCCAGGCCAGTCCCAGCGCGGCCATCATCGACAGTCAGTCGGTGAAGACCACGGAAAAAGGGGGCCCAGAGGCTACGACGCGGGCAAGAAGGTGAAGGGCCGCAAGCGCCACATCGTGGTGGATACCCTGGGACTGCCGCTGGCGGTGGTCAGTGCACCCTGCCGATATCAGGACCGGGACGGCGCCCCGGTTGGTACTGACCCGGCTGCTGGGCCGTTTCCCTCGACTACAGCTGATCTGGGCTGATGGGGCCTACGGCGGCAAATTGGTAGAGTGGGCCAGGACGGTGGGCGGCTGGACCCTGGAGTTGGTGCGGCGCCCAGCACAGCAGCATACCTTCCAGGTGCTGCCTCGGCGGTGGGTCGTGGAGCGCACCTTCGGTTGGCTGAACCTGCAACGGCGGTTGAGCAAGGACTACGAAGCATTGTGTGAAACCACCGAAACCTGGATTTACATCGCAATGACCGGCCTCACCCTGCGCAGACTGGCCCGCCTTCCCCATTTTTAGACACCCTCTAAGAGCCAGTGTAAGTACGCCTGACGTCAAACGTCAAGCAATCCACGAGAGTTAGCGTGACGTCAAACCCGATTGACATCCGCTTTGGTTCGCCAAACGGTCATTATGTAAACTGGGCATTTTAACTGCGATGAAATCAGATCATAAGGAGACGGTTTCCGGTGATATTGAATTGACATTGAGAGGTGATCCGGCACGTTGCGACGAACAAAAAGCCTATTTTGCAATCGCAAATATTCGTAACAACATTTCTGCTGGCCGATCGGATGAGTTACGCTCGACATCGCTCCCATCGATAAAGAGTCGGCCATCCGTCATCCGCGCGATTTCAGCCATTCTCGACGACGGACCTGGCTAAAGTTTGTGACTAAGGCGGGGGCTGTACCCCTCTCGTGCGGGAATCGTCTAAAAATCAGGGGTGGTTATCCCGGCGTCACCATTCGCCTAACTCGGTAAGGCAGCCCGCCAACCACGCCGACTCCGAGCGCGCCGGGAACTCATGGCGAAGGCGAACACGGCGCTGGGACGGGCAAAGCGTCCTGGCGGCGGTTCCTGGGCGACCACCCGGCGGCCCACATACCTGACGATGCGACCGCCGTCGGGTCGTTCCAGCGCTTCCATCCGCAGTCCGGCATAGCTGGGACGTCGTTGGTCCAGCAGCAGTTGCAGAATCCACCAGCGGTACTTCACCCTGCTGTCCCGAGCCACCCTGCGGGTGTTCTTGAAGCACCGGGTTTCGGATACGCACCGGTCGGGAGCCACCGGACGCTAGGCCGGATCCGGATGCACGGGTGGTACGGCGAAGGGGGCGTTGCAACGAGGCAGGAAGTCCTACAGCACGGCAGTGGCCTGGTCCATGGTCCGGGGTCAGCCAGGCGCAGTTCGCTTACCAGCCGATACTGGGAGGTCTCCGCCATACGTTCGACCCGACCCTTGGCCTGGGGCGAGCGGGCGAAGATCTGGCGGATCCCCAGTTCCTTCGAGGCCCGGGTGAATTGGGTGGCTTCCGCCGCGGTCTCCGGTGCCGCGGGCCAGCGCGGCGGCACGGTCTCAGCGATACGCTGCCAGCATCCGCCGGTCGTGTCGTTCGCTCACCCCCAGCAACTCGGGGGCCTGGACCGTGGTCACTTGGTTTTCCAAAACGGAGTTGAGCACGGATTCGGGCATGTTCTCTTTGGTTCAACGTTACGTCCTTCATGGGAAGGGCATATTCGCTGACCCAGTTAATGGCTGACCAAAGGGACAGCGCCCCGCGGTGAACGCTCGTGCCTCCGACCCGCCAGGGCCTGGTCGAGCACCGCCCGGGCCACGAGATCGGCGTCCAAGGTCTCCGTCCAGGGTACGGCCGCGGGCTGCTGCACCGGAAGCAGTTGCGCCGGAGCGGCGAGCTCCGTGACGTCCGGCTCCGGCGAGATCCGCACTGGCGCCCTCTCCGGTGCGGCGGCGGCTTCGGATGGAACAGCACCGGAGAGCCCTCTGATGCGGCGGCGCAGGGCCGCGACCACATCGGCGTCGCTGCCCGCCAGCGCGATGCGCATTTTCACCATGATGCCCCGTCCATGATGCCCCCTGCGTTGTGGCTCGGTGGGTCAGCGGACTGCTCCGAGATTGTGACGCCGCCGCGGCGAGGACGCCCCGCACAGAAGCAAGGCGACGATCACCCGCCGTCGCCGCTCCAGGCAACTCATTCTGTCGGGTTGTTGTGGTTGAGCTAACGAGAACCGGTCCACCAGCTCGGAGCCGTGGCAGCTGGCGCCAGCCTCATCAATCCCAATGCGTAGAACCCGCGCCTCCCGGGCGCGACGACAAGGAGTAAACCGATGCAACCTCAAGCTCAAGCTCACCCCATCTCCGCCGGCGGCGGAAACGCCTCCGAGGACTGGGCCACGGCCGTCTTCCTCGCCAAAGGCAACGGCTCCCGCCTTCGTGCTGCGCCACTGGCGAACGGAGGGCGACAAAGCCGAGCCGGTATTCGTAACCTGGCTTCGGGACGTCGGACGTTTCTGCGTGAGGGCGAAATACGGCCGGTATTCCCTGAGGCACGGGGAATGGTATGTCGATATCGGTGCGGGTCACGAGCCGGCGCCGTCACCGCTGGAACAGCCGACGGCCGAGGCGTTGCTGGTCAGTGAGGCCCTGCACGGGCGGCTGAAGCAGCCGGCGCCCGCCTGGTCAGCCTTGGCACCTTGGCCCTCTTCGACATGGACGGCGACCGGCGCATCGAGCGCCTCGCTCGGCGGAGCCGCGTTCTCCTGCTCTGGGACCTGGAGAGCTACAACCGGCGATTGGCCGACGCGGCGGCGGGCTCCCGGCAGGCCTACCCCCTCTGTTGAGGGACCGACGCCCGTCGGCGCCGGATCATCCCGCTCGCCCGGGATGGGCTCCCGGTCCGCCTCAGCGTCATAGGCGGCGAACCCTCCGCAGGGCCGCACCTGCGGAGGGCGTCGCGAGAGAGGTAGTCTGCGGTCACGTCAGGTAAGCCAGGCGGCACGGCAAACTGTAACGCTCGGGTGACGTGGAGCTACGAGCCTCGTCACGTGCAGTTAACTGGTCAATCGAGATGACGACATGAAACGAAAGACTACCCCGCGTGAACATTGACCCAATTGACAGAAAGCAGAAGGAGAGCAACGCTCAACAGGGGTAGTGAGCAGACGACCAGCTACGCGGACAGGAACAAAACCAGCGGAACCGGCAACCGAACAAGTAGACCCCATCTGGCGGACTATCGCAAGGAGGGCGCGCCCGCCGCACTGGTCCACACTGGAACCGAGCCTTGGCCGACCCCGCAACGCTGTTTCTGACGATGAGGCAAGCGCGGTGATCAGTTGGCCGCACCACCTACCTGGGCGCCACCCACAACCCACCTCACCGAGTTGCTCCGGGACTCGGGAGGGCATCGACCCGCCGGCCCCCGTGTCGGCGCTTCTACCAAGGCAAGGCACCCGAGCGCCCGCTGCAAACGTTGCGGCCCAGCATCGGGTCCGGCGACAACGGATGCACTCAGGGGGGGGGGTTGTTTATCCTGTCTTCTTTTTCCGTCTCTCCTTCCTTTTCCACCACCGGTGGCTGGGCGAGGACTCCCCAATTCACCCCTGCTCCTGGCGGTTTGGACAGCCACCATCGGCCGGGCCAACGCGGTGTTCTGTCCGAGGAGGACACTCGGGGATACTTCATCCTGATGCGGGGACTGATCGAACGCTGGGGCGTACCCACCGCCCTCTACAGCGACCGCCACGGCGTGTTCAAAGTTCTCCGGCAAACCAGCACGTCCAGCCGCCGGTGGAAGCCACCCACTTCAGCGTGCCCTGGTGGAGCTGGGCATCCAGCAGATCTTCGCCCGCTCGCCGCAGGCCAAGGCCGAGTGGAACGTGCCGCCGGCACTTTTCAGGACCGGCTGGTGACCGAACTGCGTCTCGCCGGCGCCAGCACCATAGACCAGGCCAATGCCGTGCTCAGGGACTTCCTGCCCCCGCTATAACACATGGTTTGCTGTCCCGGCCGATCTGCCGGAGCCTGCCTACCGCCCGTGGCACGGAAAGCGGCCCTTGGACGAAATCCTCTGCTTCAAGCGCACCCGCAAGGTGGCTCGGGACAACACGGTCAGTACCAGTGGCGCA